ACATATCTACGCGTAGATCATGATGTTCTGTTAGAATCGCTGAAAACTGTTTTCCAAAATTCGCAGCGGGTAGTGTACAGCATCGATTTCTGTGGGACCCAGTAGCTGTCAAAACTTTCACATTTTTACGAATAACTCGGAAATCGTAAATTTTTCAGGTAAAACGTTTGACACAAACTTAACTTAAATTTTGACGACAAATCTGAAAATGAATGAAAAAAGGGGCGGTTGCATTTAAAAAACCAAAGTTGGTAACTACCACACGTTTATGATACACCCCGTATATTGGAAAGTAATTTTAAAATGTGGACCTTTTAAACATGAAAAACTTTCGTAGGACGTATTTTCTTGTAAAGTTCATATTCCAAAATTAAAGTACGTACAATAAAGTTCATATTTACTGAGATATGGCACTTTGACGCACTAATGAGCAACCCTGTATACGTCCGGTATAACCAGACGGGTCATTTTTTAAAACATATGTTAGATCGACAAAATAGAACCGCTTAGCATGACCTGAAATTTTCGGAATTATTTTAAAGTTACTTTTCGTGGGGCACTCTGTATCACTCGTTCAATGAAATTCAATCTTTGCCGGTGTCACAGATTTTAACCGTCGGGATTCGTTTTCAAAGGTAAATTTAACCCAGATTGTGTGCGCCCCCTTTCTTTTCCTCGTGCCGCTATAATTTGGCCATAACATTTAAAAGTCATCTCCCTCAATGTAAAATATATTGATGGTGGCTAAACGAAAGTAAAACCTCAGTGATTTTGCAATTAAACAAAAACGCTCACACAAGTCAATTTTCATTTTCAAGGAGAAACGTATTCAGAATTTCCAAGAAAAACCCCATCGCTTGGCTCAGGCGATCCTCATAATCATAATCTTAAATCCAATAGTGGATCGAGTAAGTTTTCGTTTAGCCACTCTACAGGGTGATTCAAAATTAGCGTCATTCCTCCGGAGGTGTTATCTGGCGTTGTTATACAGACAGTACAGAAAAAATAGTAAAAGAAATTAATTGTTATTAAAAACTGAGAAATTTGCAAAAAGCCATTTCAGAAATACGGCAGCAATGTTTTTTACGGTAATCTGCCTAATTAACATTGCGCAAATACCTGTTGCTTCGTAATTATTTAAAACTCCGGTAACCATGGAATTATACAGACTGACAATAAGACAGACAAGGATAAACGGTAAATTCAACGATTTGTTGACTGCGCAACGTACTTTCGAAACGTCAACCTGTTGTCATAACCTCGAGTTCTGCGGGGATTGGTGTTTACAAGTAATCCGTACAACACCAAACATTTGAACATTTATCTCCTAACAAGCTAGTACCTGTGTAGTCTCCTTATTATCCACTCTTATCGAGCAGCTTCTCGTATTCAGTTAATTAACTCCTGATCCATTTGTATCTCCTTGCTGTGTGTATCGTACAAACGTAGTAGGCATGTAGCCCTTCCGCGGTATTTATTTGGTGCTTGGAAAAGTGTCAGTTATTGTGCTCTGAGTACCCCTGGAAGGCCCTGATTCGATTATGTCCAATACTTGTTCCTTTGTGTCTGAAACCCGATCATCGATTGTCGTCCACTATCTTCTTGGAACTACTCTACTCCCCCTTTGTTGGTGTGAGTTCTTCCAGCTTCTGCTATGTTAGTGTAGCACTTCCCCTGAACAATCGCATATTCGCAAATTTGTGAAAGGAAATTCAAAGTAAGTCACAGTTTGACAAATTATTATTAGGGCAATCCACCTGTAATACGTGTTATGTGTGTTATTATATGTTATCTGTTAATGACAAAAAACAATATTGCCGCTCTAAATTTTCATCAAAAAATTGTAGAAGAGAACTTTTTTAATATCAAAAATTTTCGTCATTTGAAGCAAATATAGTAATTTTTCTTTTTGAATGCTTAAGTATTCCATAATGCTACCAATTAAACATTGAACAATTTCAAAATAATGCTTAACAACAAAGTTGAAATTCGATCTTCAACTGTTAATATTTTCTGAAAATTTTCGAAAAAAAAATTTCAATGCTTTTCTCGTGCTCCCCCAGGGAGCCTCTATAACCCCTTAAAAGGAATAACGCCAATTTTGAATCACCCTGTATGTATAAAAAAGGATGACGTCAGAGCAGATTAAGAAAACAGATGCAAGACTTTGATGATGAGAATGAAATAGAGATCAAGATAATAAATTTTATTGTATCAATAATTGGTTGTGAGAAGACAGAAAACCTAATAGAAAAATGCGCATAATATTACCAATATAAAAAACATGCAATTTAAATGATTTAATTTATTTACCTTGAATCGGTAAATTTATATCTTCTTTTACAGTAATAAGCAACTTTAGATTGTATGCATAACTACCCAAGGATTTGGGGTGATTGTGAGAGACCTCTAATAAAGTGTAGTCAAATCACTTGAAAAATGTAAGTGGTTCAAGCAGGACGACGAGAAAGAACAAAATTAAATAATATGCCCTTGTTATTCATAAAAAGTTTAAATGATCGATTTAGCCAATTCCATATAAAACATAAAGCTGACCGTGGATAGTTACGTTGATATATTACCTGGTAAAAATCGTGGAGTGTCCACTTTAACATTAAGCAAAAAATTAAGAGGTTTCAGTCTTAAGCATGGGGCGAGGTCGTCTTCGTACAGGTCGCCATGACAACCTGTGTGTTTTGCTACGATCCTTTTCACCCACAGTGGATCCCTTTGTAATGCCCAAGGGCTCAAGCCGGAGCCACTAAGTAGAATCACTCGGTGCAGTAATTCTGTAACAAAGTTAAGTGGCGTTAGGCAGGATTTACTTGTTAGATAATAGGAAATAGGACAAGAACAACTTCAAAGGGAGAACTGCAGGTATTCAGGTCGCTCTGGATTGCTCAATGACAATTGGAAAAGAAAACAGTAGCAAATTATATCTATTTTCGGACACTTTGTTTCACTTCTCTTTACGATGTTACAATACTTGGGTTAGTTCAAATTAGAACTACAAACTTCAACATTCATTTTCTAATTGATCAAATCAATTTGTTTGTTTCGACTACAAGCATTTCCATTGCTTATTCGTTCATTACTGATTCTTTCCTAATTTTTACTAATTCAGTTTGGATACCTGAAAAAGATATACGGGTGTTTCTCATTGTTAATTTGTTATATCCCGTAAGTACTACTATCAGGGTCTGGGGGTCCCATGTCCGCGATACGTCGTCTAGAGTTGGTAAAAATAAGGGATTAAGGTTAACGAGCGTCTAGGTATGTTTTCCTCAGATAATGCCTTACTCTGTGCAGTTCTTAGTGAATGTGTATGATTGAATAGTGCCTTACAGTGACCCAGGTTGGGTTTGTGGGACCCGATAACAGTGGAATTGTACGTGATTTCAGAAAAGTATGTATTGAAATTCTGTTGTTACTTTTATGTGTATGAACACTTATTTGTGTTTGAAATTTATGTTTCTACATTTTAATTATTTTCAGATATAGCTGGTTCGTCACATACAAAGTTGTCTGATGATCAGCTGAGATAACTTTTGGAAGATGAGGAATTCTGGAGATAAAGTGATGTAAGCGATAATGAAGAAATTGGTGTCGTTCCAAACGATAAATTAGATACTCTTCAACAAATAGAAGATGCTGGGGATCACAGTGGTACTAACGAAGATGATGAAGAGATATTTATCTAGCATGATTCTGATAGTGAATTAGAATTGGATTCAAGTGAAGAAGGCAAAGGAGTCGATGTTAATAATTATTAATATGGAAAGGACAAAACCAAATGATCCAAAAAAGCTCCAGGACGCACTCCAGCTCATATTATAGTAACTGTGTTGCCTGGTCTGAAGGGTGTAATTCGCAAAAATCCACCAAAGACCCCTTTTGATGCATGGGACATTCTTTTCACAAACCATATTTTGGAACCTACTGTGCAACATGCAAATAATAAAATTGAAGAAACGAGACCTAAATTGTTTAGTGTTTTGTTAGTATAAATAAGTAGTGGGTCCATGGGACCCAATAGTAGCAATCTCTACCGTAGCAGTAAGCAATACGTACGGGATATATAAATTAATGCTGCCAAGTAACACTCCGTACAATCAAAATAATTTATTGAACAAGAAGATGTAAAAATTGATTTTAAATTGAAACAGGATGTGTGCAAATCTAATAAATTTCGCCACCACAACTTGTTATGCAGAATGACTCAGAACTGCGGTTGAAAGTAAAGCAATATTTTTTTTAATAAAACTTTTTTTCAATAGAATAGAAATAGCTTCTACATATTTTTTTGGTAATTTCAATTTACTTAAATAAAAAACCTTCGATGTGGACATGTTATTCCATGATGGTCAAAATAAAAGATGTAATTGTAAAATTTTATAGATATATCTTATGAGACTTGTTTAGCAAATTAAATTAAACTCGTTCATCATTATTTGCTTCATATCATTTGGGTCGGTGGTTGGTGTAGCATTAACATTTTCCTTTACGTAACCCAATAAGTAAAAATGGCAATGGATTAAGATTCACTCTCTCGCTTTATTTGCAGAATGTGGCGCATTACATTAAGCAGTGCATTTCCCAACAATTGCACCAATGAACTTTAAACTAATTTATGTTTTTTCATGTTTCCTAAATACCCACCCAAATGTTGCCAAAAAGACCAAATTTTCTTGATTGCCAAACGATCTTATCCAATAAGGATTGGTTCTTCTATAGTACTGCATGTTAGGCTTGTTGATAGTCTCACTACTTCTAAAAGTATAGTCGTCAGAAAACCAAAAATGCTCTAAAAATATACGATTTAGCTCAATTTTTTTTTTTATTTTCCTGCCGAAGGATACTTTATTTTCAATATCATTCTTGATTTAGGAAGAGATAATCAGCCCTGTGCTGTATCACTCACGTTAACTTTAACGTGCATGTTATCCGTCAAACACGTTATGTGGCTCCAACTGGTGTGTTGTATCAGTAAAAC